TGAGTGCTTAGGGTTCCTACTCAGCGCATAGCATATTTTATAGGTGGGGAAACAGGTACAAAAGTAGTAAGACACACCCAAGAACATACAAACAAACCCATGACAGAGCAAATACTGAAATTGAAGAGTCCTTAAACTTGATGTTCATTTCCCCAGGTCCATAACAAACAGGTTACCTATAGCTATCTTGGGGGAAAAAAAAAAAAAAAAAAGGAAAACAAAACCTAACCAATATCTCAGATACGCATGCTGAATCCATTACTTTCAGTAGTTTGCAGACAGACAGAGGAGGTGAAATCAATGCATGTATCAACAAAAGTGTGTGGAAGAACAAAATTCACTAGTTAACATTACATAAGAAAGACGTGTAATTAAGGGAAGTGTCTCCTTTTGAGCTTTTCAACCATTTATAACTGAGGGTCATCCCCACATTACATAACACTTCTGCTGAGTTCTTTTTGGGTCTTGAATCTGAGTTCTTGTTTCACAGAATCATAGAATGGTTTGGAGTAGAATAGACCCTCAAAGGCCATCTAGTCCAACCCCTCCCTGCAGTGGGCAGAGACATCTTCCCCTAGATCAGGTTGCTCAGAGCCCTGTCCAACCTGACCTTGAATGTTACCAGGAATGGGGCATCTACCACCTCTCTGGGTAACCTGTTTCAGTGGTTCACCATCCTCATTGTAAAAAACTTGCTTATATCTAGTCTGAATCTACTCTCTTTTAGTTTCAAACCATTACGCCTTGTCCTATCACTACAGGCCTTATTAAAGGGCCTTCCACTTAGCAGCTTCACCTACCATTATGGCAGTTTTCATATCTCACCATAAAAGCAAGTCAAACACTCCCATAACCACCTAAAACATGCTTCAAATACCTCTTACTGAACTTCATTACACAACATAATTATTCCAGCACAAGTAGATCAAAACCAAGAATATATAACTTTCTGTTCATGCTGAAAATCATAGAATCATAGAATGGTTAGGTTTGGAAGGGACCTTAAAGATCATCTAGTTCCAACCCTAGAAAATAAATTTTCCAACCAAAATACTCCTCTTTTCCTATATTAATTCAACTTGTCGGCACTACGAATGTGTCTATGCTTCTGCACATAGATCAACGGGGAAGGAGAGGACAGCAATAGCCTACCAGAAACAGTAGGTGGATCTAATAGGGAAAAACTTTATCTTGCATCTTTGTGCACATGGTTCTACAGAGAAAAATTAACACATCAGGCCTCTTTGGCACACAAAGTTAACTACTTCCACAAGAACCATCCAGCTGGAATGCCAGAGACTAATACTCACAGACTTTCAAGCAAGACTAACTCCAATACATGCAACAGGACTTTTTCTGATTTGCTTACAGAAGTGTGATCTGATAAACACTATTTTTTTTGTGAAGACCGAGAATGTGAAATGTTTTCTGCTTTAAGCATCATTACAGGAAGCAAACAAGTTATGACTGCACCTCACTGAAAAACAGTATTAAGTACCATACAAATAAAGGTCTCTGGCAAACAGCAGAGACTTCAAACCCTCTCCTTATTTATAACTAAAAGAACTCACAGTCTGCTTGGTGATAGGGGAGAACAACAGGAGTAAGACAAAAGCACATCAAAGACAGAAGCAGCATAGCAGAATACACTCCAAGAAAATTTTCCTGCTTTCCCCACCGAACCCTCAGGCCACAGAGTTTCTTCGACCAAAAGACAAAAGAGTTAAAAAAAAAAAGTGAACTTGACAATCCCTACATGTGTTCTTCTCCAGAATTCAGAGACAAAAGACTGGCATACAAAGCAGAAACTGCAAATTTATGATTTTGCCAAGTGAAAACCAAGTTCACATAGCCCTTGCTTTCCACCTTAGAACAGTGCTACAGCGCACCGTTGATTTATACGTGCTCATAAAACCTTTCAACCTCTCAGCAGTTGCATATTACAGCCTGTACGAGATGAATTAAAATTCAGCTATTAATTTCATGGTAACACCCAAAGTAAAGTTTGTATCTTTATATTATCCTTTCTGGCAAGAAGCTAAAATCACCAACTGCATTTAGCCAATAATAAATAGTGAGATACGATTCTGACAGCTGCTTCCTCATAAAAAGGATTTTGGCAGAGAAAAAAGTGCCATGATAAGAGAAATGTAACTAATAACCAGTAATCCTCACAAAGACACAACTAGAATCCGTCAAGAATCCTTGCTCGTCACAGCAGTCGTGAGAATATCAACCTTACAAGGGTCAAGTTCTTAACGTGCTACAGATACAACAGAACTTTTCTCAGTCCTCCAAAAATAGAAGAGGTGACTCCTCTACTACTTAATGCTTTTACACAGAATCATCATGATTTTGCGTCTCTCCAGTTCCCACAAACTGGAAATGAGAGCTGAAAATAAAGTCTGAGACATGGAAGTCTGTCATGGAAGCAGGATTTTGCCTGCAGTATCCTAAATTGTTCTTGATCATTAGATGTTATCAAAACTCCATTCCGTGAGACCACGGCAGTTTCACCACAGCAGTTCCTTGGTACACTTTGAAAACAGAGGGAAGCATAACACAATATTATGACAACTGCGAAGTTATGCCGTTTCAGGCAGAAAAAATGACAATATTTTGCTGGTAGTGCTTTGCAATTTGTGGTAAATACCCAAGAGTCTCACCAACGATACGATACTACCGTGATAAAGATTGTGTCATCAACTATAAAATGAAGCATGGTGGTGGGCACAAATGAACAAGCAACAGTGAACCATTTTGTGAAGTCTTACTAGTCTTTCCCCTCTGAAGGAAGGCTGTTACTTTCTGAGCTTCTGTAACCTTTAGCAGCCAAGACGATTGGAACTAAGTGGGCAACTCTACAGAATAACTACCGTAATTAGGTGTATATTCAAACTTGTCTACACAGGCCAATTCGCACAAGTCTGCATTCAGAGTTAACAGCTAGCAACAAACACAGCAGTATAAGCAAATAGCAAGGATACGCTCTTTCTCTTCCACGATTGGTTATATTCAGCTTAGTTGGATCATTGGCAGAAACATCTGATTAAAGCTGAGAGAAGATTTATTCATTTGCATAACCAGTATCATAGAATCATAGAATGGTTTGAGTTGAAAGGGACGTTAAAGATCATCTAGTTACGAACTCCCTGCCATGGGCAGGGACACCTTCCTCTAGATCAGGATGCACAAAGCCTCATCCAACCTGGCCTTGAATACCTTCAGGGATGGGGCATCCACAACTCCTCTGGGTAACCTGTTGCAGTGCCTCGACACCCTCAGAGTGAAGAGTTTCTTCCTCAGATCTAATCTAAATCTACTCTCTTTCAGTCTAAAGCCATTGTCCCTTGTCCTATCACTACATGCTTCATATTCTTTTTAATTTCCATACCTTTCATATCCTTTTTAATTCTTATCTTTTGATCTCTCTTATTAGGAGAAGATTGAATTAATAGAATGACCAGAGCTTTCCAAGAGAACAATTAGTTCAGCTCATCTTTTACCTATTAAGTACCATTTAACCTGAAGATTGAGACTACAAGTGATGTACAAAGTCATGTCATTTTTTGGTGATACTGTCACCAAACATCATGAAGCTGAGAAACCTCAAAGTCAAGAGGTTCAAGTAGGTTCTACAGGACTGTTGAGGGGAGAAAGAAACTCTCACCCAATGTTCCACCTCCCCATCTGATCTTGCTGACAGGCAAGATTTGGTCTAGTCGGCTGTGAAGCTGTCGCACAAAGTCACAGTAGGAATATTCAACAAGCTGCTCCTCCCGCACTCACCTAGAAGACAGACCCCCAATTCTATGTAATATGCTCCCTTATATACACTCCTCTTGGGGTCATGCATACCCCCAAGCAGCTGGTCAATGATAACATAAGAGCTTTAATCTCATTGTCTAAGTAGCCCATCAATACTTCAAAGAAGTTACAAGAATGAAGTCATCCTTGAAACTGAGACATAAGTACATACAAAAATTTTCTCTGTCTATTTACAAAGGGAGGAGTACGAAGAGCTGACAATAACCATCCTAGAGAATATGGGAGGTACTAAATGCTGCAACTGCACCTCTGATCATTCTGAAGTGTAATGCTTATGCCTCCTTACAGCTCACTTGCAGGAAAATTCATGAGTCCAAGGGTGTAATATTAAATAAATGTAGTGTGAAATAATGTCCAGAGCTAGCACTGAAACCCACGTAAATTATAGTCCATTAATAGAGATCACAATCTTGATATAATAAATACACTTAAAAATAGAACATTTAGGCAAAATATACAGGATACAAAAATTACTTTCATATGAAAGGCTAGCTACTGAGCAAACTCTTGAAATCCATACATCTCTCGAGGGTAGCTGGCAGGCTTCTAGGAAAGATTAACAATCACAGAAAGAATTCGCGAACTTCAGAGCTTGTTGTCATTTTTAGAGAAAGGCTAGGACAAAACTAACTATTGGCACATTGTTTCTAAAACATTCATTAAAACTATATTTTAAGTTTTTTTCTGAAGTGCTTGTTACTATGTTTGAAGGGTGGGATACTACGGGCTTGAGAGAAGTAACTTCTACCCTGCAGTAACCACTTGTGTTCAGACTCTGATTCCACAGCAATGAGGTGGCTGCTCATTCAACTTGCTTGAACATCCTTGCTTTCACTATGGGATAAAGAACATATGCATGAGCAGCTACCATGACACAGCTGACACATCACACCAAAACAACCTTTTCGCATGCCCACGCACATTCACGCTTTAAAATTCTGTATGTATTCATGCATAAAACTCTAAACCAGAACAAATACAAGTAATTCATTCTGCAAGGCAGGAGACTGGCTATCACTTTATGGATTCTCATTTTCCAAAGAAAGAGGTTATATTACTGTTCATGTTACAGAAGTTATCATGCACAAAATGCTTTTCTTTGTAGCCCACTGAAATTCAAGTATGGATTTTAACAAAAAAGTCTATAAAAGTCAGTAACTCCTGTCACTTACTTGGCTTAGAGTTAATGACGACATTTTCAGCAGAGTGCTGGGGTGGAAACCTGCAGTTGTCTCCTTGGCCCTCACTGCTGCCATACTCTATGACTTCCACTTGTCCCAGTGGTACACTCCACTTCAATAAATACCTCTGGCCAGTTGTCACGGTGCCACTGCTTTCACAGGAAGAGCTGGAAGATGCAAAAATTACAGCTGTGACAAGCAACTATGTTTCATGGCTTCCTATTTATTATTTTAAGCTTCTAAAATCTGCTGTTTATCAGTCTGAGTACCATGCACAACTTGAAACAAATACATGCATCAGGCTGACTTTTGTGACTGACCTTTCTTGGAGTGCAAAGAGCAGCTATGCAGGTGCAGATAATCTTGTTTACAAACAGCATAGGACTGCCAACAACATTCCCTAAATTTCTATAACAAAACATAAATGACCATCTTTTAAGATCAACATGCATTTTGACATCCTAATATGAGTGCTTAGGACGATACTGTAGCTCCGTATTTTTCTAATTCTTTTGGAACAGTGCTCAAAAGAAGTAAATGCTACATCTAGGGAAGTGTGAAGGATGGGACCTTTGAACGACCACTGGCAGCAGACGGGCAACGTAAGCTCCCAAGGACTGACAAACTAACACTTCTGCTGAGCCCCACAGACTGGGATGTTTACAGAAGACCTTTGCAACTGCTGTGGCTTCTGAGAGCAACCCCACGTGAGCTGCTGCTAAAGGAAGTGTGTATCACAACAACAGGCATTTCAGAGGACAGAGCACACTGAGGAAGCTCACTTGGAATAGAAATGGCATTAATACTCCTTTTCCTTTGTTTCCTTCATTCCCTTCTTCACATTCAAGTGCACATAACTAATGTTTATTATAAAGGACAAAAGAGACGTTAAAGTGAACAAAAAAAAAGGTTTACTTCACGGAAAGCATGACTGAAATAGAGAAGTTAAATGCTTGGGAGAAATCAGCAAAATGCATTTATTTAGCTAGTCAGCTACCTATTCGCAACACATAGTTTTGTTCCAAGGAAGAGGCAAGTATGAACACAACACAAAGTGCCACAACTTAAGCAAATATTTATAAACTCTTGATCTAGTTCAGAAGAAAGAAAACAAGACTAGGCAGAACACAGCTATTCCGTCACTAGGGATAGCATCCACCTTGTCCAACTTCTGCTACCTAAAAGTTAGGTCTCCAGTTCAACCTACATGTGAAGAAGGACCTTCTGTGGGTCATGTATTCTGTAGAAATAGTCACAAACCCCCTTTTTTTTTTTGGCTAGAGAATACTAAAAGTGCATTCAACTATTCCAAAATCCAATTTTTATATAAATAAGCAGGTTGGAAAGCAAACCTTAACTGCTAGTGGAAACCATAATTAAACTTCTTCAGAGTTGGCAAGCCCCCATGACACGTACATGCCCAATTACCATCCCAAAGGAGGTTGCACAGAACCAGTTAACGCCCACAGGAACAACAGTGCTGTGATAACCAGAACTGTCGACCTGGCATAATCATGAACTTTTCACATGGAAAACAAAAGCAGACTGCACGTAGCCACTTCAGGGACAAATACGGAAAATCCAGGATAATAACGGTATGGAAGAAGATAAAATATAAATGGTTAAAAGCAATTTTCTTGCAAACAACCATGAGAAAATATCCAGGTGTTACTAAGGAACTGAAGAATTTGTAAAGGAAAAGAATCACAGAATAATTGACATAACCTTGTTGATAAAGTGCAGTTATTACATGTCACTTCTTACTAACATGAGACCAAGCATTCACACAATTACAAAAATATGTACTGTATTCATACTTCAGCAATAAAATAAGGTATCAACAACTCATATTAAGAAAAGCTGTTCTTGGAAGATTTTAATGGTCCACATTTTCTCTGTCAGAATGCACCATCATATAAAGCAATTTACGATACAAGCAACATTCGAATGTGTGACCTTGGCATACACAGAGGTATAATAACAGTAATGGTTACAGCCAACTAAAACACAGAAAACACTATGAAAAATTGCTTTCTTCAAAGCACCTCAGCTTTAAATCTTCAGTGTTTTGTCTCAGAGACAAAAACCCTTCCCCAGCTGGAATTTTGTTAGTGAATTCCAGGTTTGTTCTGGCTACATGCATTAGCTTTATGTTTTGGGTTTTCTAAAATTTTCAAATTGTGTCAGTACACACATACAGATTTGTGTGTGTGTGACAGCACAAATTTAAGGATGAAAAGAAAAAAATCCTACCTTGGCATGCCTGCGCTCCACTACACACTAATACACAGCAATAACCAGACACTACAGAGCATTTCTATCTGTAATCTCCAACTGACATAATTTTCTCACAAATTTACTCTAGAACTTCCAAACATTATCAGGCAATTTAGAGGACTGTAAGAAAGCTAGTTATCCATTCATTATAACTACTGCTAGAAATCATTAGTCATAGTAAAAACAATAATAAAAAAATTCAGTGTCACTTCCTCCACCTGAAGCTTGAATGCTGATTTAAAAAATATGAATGAATCTTACCGAATATTTACTGTTGCACACATCAGCACATCATTTAACATGAAAAGTCGTCGTTCTTTGGTTTTGATAATTTCTCCTTTGTCATTGTAAACCGTCTCAACCATATCATCAGTCCGTATGAGGTATCTGCTTCCACTGCTGAGTAGCTAAATTTTAAAAACAATCAACATTGTATATTATACGTGGTACATCTAGCAACCAGTGCAAACAATAAAAAATACAACAGGTTAACACTTGCCATCCTAGTGCAAGTGTTCACAAGTGGATTTGCCAAGTGAATTAAGGCTCTTAACTGACTTGCTTTTTATTTAGAGAAACAGTAACTGTTGCTGCCAGCAATATGGCCTGCAGGGGATGTCAGTCTTAACATGGAACGTAACTACTCTGAAAATCTTCCACACTGATAAAGGTCCCCTACCAAAAAAAAAAAAAAAAAACCACACAAAAAACCCCAACAATCACAGCTTCCAAAATTTCTATGGTTTCCTTCCCAGCCCATTTAAGTGCTATACATGGTTCCAGCAGCCCTAAAGGAGGAGGTCAGCCTGGGAGAAGGAAGAGGTGCTCCTGCCTGCTCTGTCCACCCTAGCTTGCAGATCTAGAAGAGAACTGCTGGCAGGTTTCCACAAGCTGCCAAGAAGATGACATGTACAAAAGATGCATGGCCTGTAAATTGCTCCTGCAGTTTGCCTTCAAGTGCTGAGGATCAGCACTGTGTGCAAGCATGAACTGATTCCTCACAGGTCAAACACACCACTGTAGCAGCCAAGGGAACAAAATGGTCTATAACTCACCCACTTCCTATCCATCCATCTCCTCTACTGCCTGTTTCAACCTGCTTGTCACTGTTCCAAAACTATTAAGCCACAAGGCGCACAGGGCCCTACATGACTTGAAGTGACTGTCCACGTGATCTCAATTTGTCCCTCTGGTGCAGAACATACAGGATTTTACAGTTTATATAGACTGACAAAAGGAAACCTGGACCATCTCCTAGAAAGCACATTCTATGTCTTGAACTCCTTCAGCCATTTGTAGATGATTAGTAGCTGCTTCAAGAAGCAGGAGTATGAAAACTGGAAAGTAAAATGTCTGAATTCATCTTCTAATGCACTTAGAATGGAAATACTGTTCCAGTATGACAATGAATTCAGTATCCCATTTTTAATAAATAGCTTAAAACGAGTGTGTTCTGGTTGACTACTTTCTTTCCTGAAAACTATGCTTTTACGCATCGCTAACAAAAATACTCCTTGCACTCCTTCAGCATGTCCCCATTACTCCATCCCAGAATGAGTCCAGTATAATCATCTGTAACTTCATGAAAGCAATAATTGAAGTATTTATGCCCCATCTCATGGGAAAGAAGGAAACATGTATGATGCCAGCAAGACAAGCATACATATATCCACACTACAGGCAGCCACTAAAAAACTCAAATGAAGAAGATGGTTCCTTCCTTCCTATTGAATGTCTTCTACAGTTCTTTAAAAGACATTTCTATGGAATTATCTGAATACATGCATGAAATAGACTAGGACGTTCCTTGAAACAAGGAAGATGTTGGACACATTCAACAGTGTATCTTGAACTGCTCCACTATCGGAAGCACTGGAACTATCGGAAAAGAAGGAACTGGTTCCTTCCTTTATACAGGAGGGATTCCTCAGTTCCAGGATAAATTCAAAATTCAATTTCGAATTTATCAGAAGATGTGCATGAGACTTTACTACAGGACAAGGAAACAGCTTTATCTATACGTTGCCACAGAACACTAATACTGCTGCTGCTGTTTCAGCACATTGCCCACTCCAGCACACAGTGATTTAACCAGTGAGCCTGTTCAGTCCTGGAGGTTGCTCACATCTCACACCTACCACTAGAATGACCCCACAGAAAAACCTCAGGTGTCTCTCTGATGTCTGTTCTGAAGATTGCTCAAGGCTCAGAAACAAATAATATAGTAAGTCTTGCATCACACCTTCTTACTTCCTAACCTTGTTCAGATAACGTTCGTTCATTGCTTTTGCTATTTGTTTTACTTCACAGCGCTGATCTGCATCCCTTTTCCTTTCATTTAACTTCTCTGCCAGTGTTTCGAGTTCTGTAAGAGCCATCTGCAGAGGTAATCTGTCAGGATGTCCTTTGTTAGTGTTCTTCAACATATCCTGAGGGGAAAAGATAAAACAAACAACAACAACAAAAATCAGATTTAATTTCAAAGTCAAGTTCAAAAGATTACAGAACGTAATGTTATTGCTACATTCTTTATGCAAGTACCACTAAAGAACAAGACCAATGAACACCTTATGAATATTCAGACAGCACATCACTTATTTTCCTGAATACCTTAACAGTTCTTAAAAAAAGATACTGAATGAGGTCACATATTCCTTATTTACAGGAAGAAAGTACAGCAAAGGAACTTGAAAGTGTAAAAAATGCAAATGTAAAGATAAATTTAAAAATGCACATAATATTAAAAAAAATTTGAAAATCAATATCATAGTATAATATGTAGGTGTCTAAAGAATGACTTAAAATAAAACTTTTCTTATATTTACTATCATAATAATATTGTATTATCTTTATTACTGTTATTATTCCTCACTAAAACACTGACAGCACACTCATCCCAAAGTAGCAGACATTACTTCATGGAGGTTACAAAAGCCTCTACAAATCTTTCCCTTTCGTAGGCAGGCAGTGGAACAATTTGAATGAAGTTTTTGCTTCTTTCCCACAGCACTTAAGAATACCTACGTATTCACTATGGCCTCCTGCCACAACAAACCCCATTTCTTCTGCTAACTCAGAAACTCTCACCACAACTAGCTACCTGTGTGCTCCCTCCATGACTATCTCAGCTCCTTCTCCCACAGTAATTCCTGGATCTGCATCCCAAAGCCTGTCCTCCTCTGTGGCACCTGCAAAACACAGCTAACTCATAGTGCTCACTAGGATAGACCTGCCGTAGTCTAGAAGGAGTTACAAACAGCATTAAGTTGATCTGGAGCAGGTCTGCTTTGGGGAATTGTGCTCTTCCTACAGCTCAACTTCCTATTAAGAAGAGACCTGAGGACCCCCTGTCAAATCTCCAGTTTCCATGGGAAGGAAAACATGATGCTGCAGGTCAGAAGGAAGCTGCAGCACGCTCCAGCATGTCCTGTGAGCCAAGTAGTCATGGAGAGAGCGCTCTTTTGTTCCACATCCCACATATATTCCGAACTATCCAAGGCATGAACTACATCCATTCGTATTTTTCTTAAAAGCAAAGTAATGCCACAAAGTTCGTAGTGGTGTTTTGAAGCGTTACTAGCTAATGAACTGATATGAACAATTAGAACATTTGAACTACAGCTTTACTGCAAAGTGACTTACAAGCTAAATCTAACCTAGCAAGTAATCTAGAGTAAATCTAGTTTACTAAGATTTTCCTGCAGTATTTACTGCCTGTCCCTGCAATCATGCTACAAGAGCAGCATGTTACGACACACTGAAATTTTTTCTTTGTTATTTCCCCATAAGCCAGAGATCACTTCTGCTGAAGTGTGCACCTCCAGCAGAAGACAGCTACCATGCAATCCCACAAGCCAACCACGTAAGAACGCAACAAGAGCACCCCTTTGGTAAACGTTATTTACCTGCAATAGTAGAATGAACTGTGGAAAGCGCTGGATAGGTTTCATCATTAAACCATATAGTGTAATTCGATCAGGGCTTGACTCTTGGCACTGCTGCAAGGTATGAAAGCCACACTGTTTACTACCCATGAGCATATTTCCATCGGTTACAGAATGAAAGTAAAACATTTCCCAAAAATTCTTCTACATCATTTATGTTAATTATAACAGTGGTACTGTAAAGATTTCATTTACTATAAATGATTTGATTTTAAAGTATTATTTTTTTAAATCACTATTAAAATGATGGCATGTCACTGAACTGAAATCTCCTCCTTAAATAAATACGCTTCGATGAAGCCACAGCAGCAACGCAGCACTTATGTAAAAAGCATGAATGTGCTGTATCGATATATCCATAAGCAGTGCACTGAAACATCTGCTTAACTTCAAGCACAACAAAGGGAATGTGCTTGTTCGAGGTCTTAAATTCGAAAAATGTAAGTGACCTGTTGATTTATAGTCCTTAATTTACTATTGTTGCTCTGTTTCTTGAGGCTAAGAGACTATAAATCTCTAACTACTTATGTGTTTTTAAAAGGAAATCTAAGGAAAACACCATAATCTCAGTGCTATGCAAACAAAAATAGATTTTCATTTTCTTTATTAAAAGAAACTACGGAAAAGAACATTGATTTATGTTTGGAAAGAAAAACGTAAGAATCCGTTATTTTGGTTATCGGGACTGGCAGATAAAACCAGACAAATTTCATTTGCATGTGCACAAAAGCCTTGTTTGTAGAAGACATTTCAACATTTGGAAATATTGTGGCCAGAATCACAGCTGACCCAAAATATGGAGAGGAGAGGAAACACTCAACATTAAAAACAAAGCAAACTCAAACAATATTAAACTGATGTTGTGCTTAAATTGCTATTTATTGCTACAACTGTCGGCTTCATGAAAATTTGTTTCCATGCTTATCTCCACAAACAATTTTTTTGCCCAAACAGCAGCAGTGAAGATTCTGGTCTTCATTGCCAATGGGCAAACAAAAAAAAAAGAAAAGTACAGAAACGTCTTCTGTCCTCAGCATTTGGTTGTGAGCCCCCAGCTCTGAGCAGCACTGTGCTGGCACTGACAAGCAGTGAGAAGAGGTGAAAGTTATGCCTCTATTGGAACAACGGGCTTTCAACGGTGTGAGAGGTATGAAATGACTATACACTCACTAGAGAGTTCTAGAATATAATCCTGTGTAGTGCTGGCCACACGCCAAAAAGTTGTTAGCTAATTTTAACATCTGAAGACAGTCTAGGAATCAGTCTCCATGATACCCTCCTCTAGGGTAAGCTAAGAGCTTCACTATTTGATTTGCCCAGGGCACTCAATTTCAGTGTTTGGTGGACCACTGCAACAGACCTGACAGGGTGACAGCTCTGAGAAGCACAGCTCAATCCAGGACTCTCAGGCAAGAGGACAAGCAGAGCTTCCAGGCTCTCAGCAGTGTCACAGCCTAAAAGGCTTGCAATGGATTTTGTGTACTCTCTGTAAGGTATCATTCCTAGGGATTCACAGCACTCCTACTGCAGATACCAGGTTCTCAATGCACATTATCAGAAGCATCATATTCATCAGGGTAGTGTGCATTCCACATAAAAATTTTCCATTTCAAACTCAAATTGGAAACATGATTTTCAAATCACTAGGAAATTGTTGTGGAATGGAATTCTACTTACATTACTCTACACAATACAATAAATAAGTAAGAAGTAAAATAAAACCCAAATAAGAAGAGGCCTCAGATGATGAACTGTTATTTGAATCTCACCTGCTATGAAAGAATACCAGTGTTTTGCCTAGTACAGACATGCAAGCACCCATAAACTGATCTGAACAACAACAAAACCACTCTGCACTTCAAAATACATCCTAGATCCAACATCATGTTATTATTCTGTAAATACAGTAGAAGTGAATTCTCTGGGATTTTTGTGCCAAACCCATATAACACAAAGCCAAAGTCCTTAAAACAGTCACGTAATATACAGTATCAGCAGTCAAATTTCATCCTAACTTATAATTTATACTGTTTTATTTATAACATATGCCCAGCTGTTTTAAGATTGAATAAACTCACCTTTAAGAAATCTAAAAAGGCAGGTTTGGTGGCACATGTTTTCTTCAGAATCGCTACTGCTGTACTGAAGTTGTTTACATATTCGCTGTACGCATCCAATACCATAGATTTAGAAAACTGAAAACATAAAAGGGTAAACCTTAACTATAAATACAAAAGAACCCTGAAATCACAACTATCTAAACCTCTGGCCCTGCTCAGAGCTAAGGGCTTTGTCTGGCCTAGTGCTGGATCTACAGAAATACTGGTGATGCCCAAAATAAAATTTCTGTAGAAAACAGGTTGGAAACCTAAAGATGTAACGGCTGTGAATTACAAAATGCAAATTTACAGAAACAGTTTTATCTTGGCTATGACACTAGGGCAGAGCCTGAGGACTACGGGCAATCAAAGGGTATCCGTTGAGATTCAAAGCGGCTGCTGTGATCCCCTGATCATCTCACGGCTGCCTATGTTCCAGATCTGGTGAACCAGCGAAGACCCAGGGCCTTCATGCCCCATCTTCTTCTGATACGGGTTTACCAGGAAAGCAGACAATTGTGTGGCCTGCAAACAGCCATGTAAAGGGTAAGATCGCTGCCCATTACCTCCTTAGTAATTTTATCCCTCTCTTCTGCAGCTCTGGTCTCGTTAATGCTATCTAACTCGCTTCAGTCAAAACAAGACAGGTTTGCTTTAAACAGCAAATCTTTAGTAGCCGTTTCATTTTGACTGAAATGGGGCCAAAGCAACAAAACAAAGTATTCAAACCAGCAGGTAGGCAGCCTTTTCCATCCACACACTCACGGTGGGAAAAACGTCTATCAACCAAGGTCACTTCTTATATTCTCTAATTTAAAGCAGTGGCTAATTCAGTCCTTTGGATGGATGCCCATTAAGGGTGGGATAGTGTTACACAAATACTCTTTACCTGTGTCCCAGGCTCAGTTCAAATCCAAGAATTCAGGACATCACCTACTGTGTTTTTTTCTGCTCCAAACAAACATACTATGTATGACTACCTACTTTTTAAGACATGTTGAACCTCAGTCTCACCTTAATTTTAGTGGGTCAGTGAATCTCTATCTCCTCAGATACCTAAATGTCTGAAAGCTTGATGAAAGCCTGAAAATTTTGCCCACAATCCTTTCACATCTGCCAACCAAACTGAAGACGTGTTGGTGTCAGTTTCCTTACCAGGATGGTACATACATACTCTGACAGCTGCCATAGGCATTGGAGAATACGGAAATAAAGTAGGCAAGTTAGACAGAGAGATATGGAGATGGAATAACAAGCCCAAAATAAAAACAGATTATCTGTTCAGATGCATTTGCTTACTGAAGCAACAAAGACATCACCAATCATTTCAACAGAGTCCCACTCAGATACACGACTCGCCAGCGCAATCTGAAACATTGAATGGCACTGAAGAATTTCCTTAATTCGATAAAAGACCATTTTGAGTTTTCTTTCACTCAATAACTTTGGTTCCATATCTGAAAGGGGCTTCTCATATTGCTGTGGGGAAAAAAAGATATACATAAATAGATTTAAGCAAACAAAAAAATGGGTCTTTACAAGCAGAAAAAAAAACAACTTATGCAACAGTATACACGCACAAAATCTCTAAACATTTGGCATGAAGCATCTGTAGCAAAATCTGTGAGTCATACTACAGATTCTTCAAGGATTTGACTATTTTTTAAATTTCCAAATTATAAAATACAAATATATTGAGGTACCTCCAGGATTCTTTTGAGAGCATCCACGTAATTCTTCTCACTGTCAACTACAGAGCCCAAAATATACCTTCTCACAACCTGTTAAGAAAGAAAGTTTTGTCTGAAGCTCTAATCAGGTAATACGTTCATCATAGTTGGGAATGCTGATGATAAAATTATCACATTAATAAAACACAAGAAATACAAAATTCAATTTCAATACTGGAACGGCAATAAAATAATATTGTAACTCTTCAAAAGTAATTAAATGTACTATTACTCTAAAACTAATTATTTATTTTAAAGAACGCAACAGTTATGGTATCTATATCTAGAATCTTTGGTGACTGTTGCAATTCCAAGCTTTACTTTCAAAACTTGTCTTTTAATTTTAGAATTTAGGCATTAATACAAATAATAATAGGTATAGACAACGTTGGCTACTTCAGTGAATTGCAGCAAGAAAATTGGTAACCAGTTTTCAAAATCAGTCTTCAAGATGAATTTTCTTTTTTTCTATGTTTTATAAATTTGTTAGGAGTAACCCAAAGGACAAATAAGCAAACATTAATTGCGTTTTTAAGGTAAGGCCACTCAGAAAGCCTCTGAGTAAGTCAGCTCTTTTTCAGGCATTACTATGCACAAGTGAAAACCCTGTCTCATCTATATTCATACCAATTGACAGAGTTGTAAGAGCTTCAGGAAGCACTACCATATTTCATGTTTACAAACTGCAGGCTATTTATCACACCTCCTTCTCCACCTCCTGCTTCCGCAATTCAGCTGAAACGCACATTGTATGCATGTGCGGGTGACATGACAGAAAGGACTGGGGAACCTATTTGGCTTAAGATTTCAATTTCTTACTGTTATTGATTAGATTTCTTGCTGGTTTTAAGGATTTGTTTTCACCCAAATCCATTTCCTAATCCAGCTCATCCCAGGGCTTTCAAAAGCAGGACTCAGGGAGAAGGCAGCACAAGGGCAGGATCAAACCACTCCCCACAACTACAAGAGAAGGTAAAACAGCTTCTTTTGCTATTTTAAACCAGCCTAAATGACCAGAAAACTCAAACCTTGGACTTACTTCTCTCTGCTCCTCATCCCCACGGCCTCCTGCCTCCTCCCTCACAGCTGCCTTTAATTCTTCACACTTGTATTTTGCATTCTTATGTTAAGTGGAGGTTACGTAAGGATTCTTTCAAGTACTGGCATTTCAAAGGAAGACTTCAAAATTATCTGAGGCCTTGCTTAAAGATACATATGGTAAAATTAGTTGTGTCTAATTTGTGCTTGGAACGGATTTAGCCGTGTCTGATTTAGTATAACGTATCAGCTGCTCTGGTAAAGGATACTAACTCTACTCTTAGTCACAGTTCATTCTTCTGAAAAGAATAAACATCTGTAGAAAATGTTTTTTTTTTTTCAGGCTCTGTAATACACAAAATTGATACTTAATAGCACCTACAGGTTACTGCAACAGATATGCACAACTTATGAGAGGCTTGCGTGCAAGCCTTACGTTTATATCCGCGTTTTTGTGAGAAAAGTACGAACTACTGTGCTAGTAGCACACAAACACGAACAACTCGCCCTAAGAACTCAGGTCGCAGTATTAAACGAAGCAAAAGCTATGATGACTGAGACCCAAGGCGAGACACGGCATTTCAGCAGGCACCGGGAAAAACCGAAGCTATCGTGCCACCTGCTGTTTAACACAAGCACATCCATCCATCACGCCAGCTCGCTCGGGGCTGAGCAGTCCAGGCTGGAAGGAACTTCTGGCCGTCATCCCTCCAGCTGGGATGCCCAGGGCTGTCGGGCAGTCTGCCGGCCCCCGGCCTCTGCCATGGCACGGGGTCACTCTGTCCCAGAGCCAGGATCTGTGCTGGCCTCTGCTGAGCTGGCTGTGTTTTTCTGTCAACCTCAGCAGCCCCACTCTCCCACACATGGCCTGCTGCACCCCTGCGATTTGGTATCATCCCCAAATGTGCACCTCAGCTGGTATCTGGATTGTTACTGTAGGCATTAAACACCATGGGCCCCATATCCACTCCTGAGGGACACCACTAACACTGGCCACCTGCTGGACTTTGCACCATGAGCTACAACCTCCCGAGCACGGTGTCCTCACCTGTTTTCCACCCACCTTCTAGTCCACCCGTACAAATCCTATCTTATCTACGCAGGTACAAGGGCACTTGACGGGAGTGCCCTGGGAGCCCTGCGAAAGCCGAGGTGAATGACACCCTCTGCTCTCCTCTCTCCACAAGTCATCTCAAAGGCACTCAGGCAGGTCAGCCACAAATGGTCCATCTATGCTGACTGTCCCCAATCACCCTCCTGTCCTTCAGAACCCAGAAATAGCTGCCAGAAGCATTTGCTCCATCACTTTCACAGGGAATGAGGTGAGGGCAGGCTGGATCGTTCTTGCTCTTCTTGACGACAAGAGCATGACATTTACCTTTTTGCAGTCTTCTGGCCACTGTGATCTTAGACAACAGAGAAAGGCCTTACCATCAGCACCCTTAAATCCATCCCATATGGTCCCATGGACACCTGTATGTCCAACTGGCCTTAGTATCCCCTAGCTGCAGGTAACACTTCACTTCCAGCAGGACCTGCCTCTAGGCTCAGGGGCTTGGGAGGCCTGAGGACAAAATCTCACCAGTAAAAGCTGAGGCAAAGGTGGCTGCGAGTACCTCGGTCTTCTCAGTGCCCTTTTCCACCAGGTTCCTGCTCCATCAAGCAGCAGATCCATATTTTTCTTAGCCTTCCTTTTGCTGCCAATATACGTATAAGAAACCTTTCACTGTTGCCCTTCACACCTCACCAGTTCCAGCTGAGCTTTGACTGTCCTAACTCCACTCCTGCCCACTTGGGCAGCTTCTCCTGGGTCAATAAGCAACATATATCATGACCTACACAACAATTACCAGTTTGCTCCAAATTAAGAGCACTATTTTTCCAAAAGAGAGCATATTTATTTTTAATTCCCAACAACAAAAAAACAAACAAAAAAACCCAACAAACCAACCAGTGAAACTTTCAAATCTCTATTTGGAAAAGGAAAACACAGAATTCAGACTGATGCTGAGATCTTACATTATAATGAAATCTTATTGGTAGCTGCATTGTTGCAAGATTAGCACTTCACCCTGCTAAACACATTAGAAAAATACACCTCACCAAGCAAACCAAAAACCCATACCACTCTCCTCAGCTGCCCCTTAATTATTTTTTTTTGCTTATTTTCTGAAGGTACTGACCAACTCATGACTTGATGCCACAAGAAGCTAAAAACTCTCATATACTTATTACTTGTCATAATACTACAGTAACATGAACCCACAGGACTTATTTTCAGCCGAAATGTCTAACCAATGCTGATTTCAGTGTTTTTTGAAGTGGTTTCCACAGTGACTATAGAGTTTGAGGTGGAGAACAGCAAAATACACTCTTCTGTAGACTTGACTTTATTGGGGACAAGCTTTTTTAATGTCAGGAGAAACCTTAAGATTCAGAGAGTATACAGGATATTCCGTACATTTGAAACGGAAATGCTGGAGCACCTGGAGCAATGTCTTCTGACTCAATAAAAATGTTTAAACTCTTTTCTTTTTCACTCAAAACCATCACATTTAGTTTAAGTGTTCAGGCAGTGAAAAAATATAATCAGATAATTTTATAATGAATAACAGCATTTTGCATCTCTGGCTGAATTCAGGACTGATGCATCTACATGCACACATACCAATTTTCAAAAAAACTACTTATTCAGTTCTGAATTTGATGTCCACTTAATTTACGTTAAACACCGGTATGTTTGAAGAGCAAGGCACCTGAAAGACATTGATGTAAAGGAAAAGGGGGAGGAAAAGGAGGCAGAAGACCATATTTCCAAAAGCCTACTACCTGCTGCTGTGATAATCCTTCAGGCATAGGAGTCATAATTGCCTCTGTATGCATACAGTCCACATCAATAAATAAATTTAGCTCTTCTTCCAGACATGATGATCTATGATCTGCAAATAATTGAACAACCAAATTGTCAACTTTTACAACATGTATATTGAAAGGAAAAAAAAAAAAGCCGCAAAGATCCAATTATCCAAGCACAGTAACTACACAGCAGTCTTATTTTCATTTACCAAACAAAAGAAACTTCCTAGCACTTCTGTATCACCTGTGAAATCACATAAGTACCACCACTAATAGGCGCTGTAATACAGAACATCTTTCAAAGGTATCTCAAAATCCTCAAAAACACAGCAGGCGACAGCCTATGCATCTTTTGCTTGACTTCTACTCCCTCTTCACAGCCAGGAGAACAGGGCTGTCCAGAGCACGAGACATGACAACTAAAGTTAAAGTACTGCAGCTCCAGGGCCAGCAGTTTTGAAATAAATGACCTTTTGGAAGAAATTAAACGCACCTATAATACGATTCAGCTTAAAAAATTCCATACACCCTTCCATAACTGAACTAAAATAAATAGCCAAGCGTACCGAAATGTTTGCTTTCATCAGAAAACAGAGTAGGAGATTCTGCATTGCTCCCTACATACTAATTTTCAGCAAAAAAGCACTACCAAAGTGCAGTGACAGGTGGCAGTACGCAGTCAGCCAAACAAGCAGACACCAGCAAAAGAGATCAAGAAAGAACAGTATGAGAAACTGTGTCATAGAACTAAAAGGGAAGTAAGGGAAGCAGATCTGCTGGCTGGGAGGAATTCATGAGTTTGATAAATTTGTCACCAGCTCCCTGCTGATTTGATAAGTAGCTGAGGGATTAACCCATCCACAGATCTCCCCTGTCTGCTACCTAACCTCTAGAAATGTGTGGAGGAATGCCCAGTACACTGTAACACTGCCCTGCTGAAGCAGATCATTTTCTCCTGTGCAACAGCAAGAAGCTGAGGAAACATTTTTGATCACTGAAGTCTGTGCAACTAACTTTCTATTTTCCGTCTGTCAATTAGGTAAGTTCAGAAGCAGAGGCCATGACAGGGAAGTAAGATGTGCCTTACAGATAAGATGCAGCTTTCTGTTATCTTGTTCACTGAAAATGTCTTGTTCCAGTCTTGTGGTTTTAGCTTCCTAAAATTGCAGCTTTATAAACTCTGAAGTTACAACCATTCAATTAGTTGGGCAGGAACTTGAGCAGAAAGACATACTACCTCTCAGACTTATCCCAAAGAATAAATAGGTTTGTATTCAGTTACTACCCTCTGCCTCTTGCAAAAATTAACTGTGGACCGGTGCTGCTGAGGCTTGTAGCAGAGGACAGATGTTTGTTCTTAACTAGTGAAAGAACACAAATATTTTTAGCTTTTTGATTGTAGGCCACTTTCTGTTTTCCCAGTTCACACTCAGCTTTCATCACAGCTTCATCACCAAACTGTGATAAAGCAGAACAGTGTCCTCCTCTACTTCTACTCTTAAGCACAGAAAGCATTTATTATCCCTTGGCCATGAGAAGCTTTATAAATAGTCAACTATTACTCCACTGAAAACCACGTCATATCAGCAGACTTCCCTGACATTCAAGAGTTACCTGATGGAGGGAACGGGACAGACTAACATGATTTCCATACTCACATACACCAATACCTAGATAGTATCTACGATAGTGTTTGGTGGCATTTGCTGCTGTTAAGTGGACTCTTCTCTGTGGTCCTCAGGTTTCTCAGGTCACTCAGGTTCTTGCCCTAAACCTAAAACTACTCAAGACACATTGACGATACTGTCATCTGAACTGTATATTATACTACACTTTACTGATAGAAAGCTGATTTCATGCATTCAGTACTCAGCTCCCAGTATAAACACCTGCTAGGCCATCCACTTCCTTTCTCGGAAATGACTAGAGAGTAACAAACACAGTATAATTGGCACATACCTTGAGAAATAAAAGATTTTGTTCTAATGAAAGAACGACCCTTTTTCACAGCTGCTTTTGTCTTTTCGAGCCCATCTTTGGTACCTTCTTTAGCAGCTCTCATAAGCTTTTGCATCTGTAAGATAAAAAATACAGTCTACGTGTTCAGTGAATAATAGGAACATGTTTGAGCATACCACGCAGAATACTTTCGATCAAAATATCTTTAAAAAAAACCCAACACTGTCAAGTAGTTTAGGCTACAAATATAGCCCAAAGTCAAAGGAATATATAGTCACAGATCCATCAAAGCTCAGATTTGAGCACCTGTACTTTTTCTTAATAAAATCATACCTGGAGAAAGGGACTTACTTCACGTCAACATTGTATGCAAGCCTAAAATAGCAGAGATGCTTAAGAACATTTCTGCATCAAACATCTGAACTCAAAATAGTCTAAAACGCTCAGCTTTAAATTATGTAACAAAAAAAATACTACAAACAGGTCATTAATGGCCGGGGTTCCTGTCCATCTTCCAGTGTCCCACTAACTCTGTCAAAGTATTTCCAAGCTAAAGATAATCCTCTAGACTCAGTTCTATACTCGCTACATTCTTAAATAAACAGTTTTGCAGAAAATGTTACAATTAATAATTTCATTAATTGAAAAAAGTTGTTTTAATTAAAAATTGCATAATTTTATAGTACACTACTAGAGCAAAAAGAAACTTCATGAAAAAAATAAGAATTAAGTGTTTTGCTAGCAAATGTTTATTAAAAAACTGCTTTGTACTTTTGCTTTCCTAAAATGCCACCATGGCAAAAAATCACTACTACTGCCAGAGCTGTGCTGACATCATCAGCGACATCAGAAAACAAACAGAGATGTCTTGCTGCAATGAGGCAATTTCTCGATTTGAGCCAAAGCTTTTAGTAAAAACGTAGCCTTTTCATGCTGGCTTTGTTCAGAACGGAGAGCACCGAGATTGTGACTCCTGCAATCTGATCCTGCGTGGCTGGAGAGCCAGGGCCAGGGTGGCCCTGCAGAGCTCACCTAGGTCTGAGAGAGAAGTCAGGGCTGTGCACCTGGCTCACACTCTGGGATAAAGGCACTGGTCAGTAGGGAAGGACAATGCCCCATCTCATCTTCTGAAACTGTTACCATTAAAAAAAAGTCATGAGAAAAGCTCCTTGAAAAAGTACTTTTAAGACAAACTGCATAACAATCCAGCACATTTAGAACTCATTTCATACAAACTATTTCCTGCTTTTTCAAGTTATTACTAAAAGAAAAAGACAACATTGTCCGTGTTGGAAAAAGCAACCATTCAAGCAAAGCTAGTTACAAAAATCAACTACACTACCTTCAGCTCATGTTTTTGCTTTAGTTGCTGAATCTCTACTGCTCCCACAGTGTTTGCCATCAAATCTTTCATCTTTTTTTCATAATGCTCCTTTAAACGCGTTAGGTCATGAGAAAGCTACAGTGTACAAAAAGACACAATCTTTTCAAAAAGCCTGCAGTGCAAACTTAATGCTAAAGTACTCGCGTATATCATGCGTGTTGCTCGGTTTGCCTACTGATACACAGACAACTGAGGGAAAATTATCATTTAGGGAAGCTCTGACCGTCACAATAGACTCACTGTGGCACATCACTGTACTTTCTGAAACTCAGGCAGGCACCTTTGTGCTACGCTGGCAAATATGTAAAGAGAGGGACAAAGTCGCTCAAGTCTAAGCTACCTGCATATTAATTATGTCGTGCACATCTCTTACGAACCATACGGAAATGATGCATCAACTTTACGCATTAGCATCGTTCAGTGGATCACATACTCTAGTGAGTTTATTTCTGACTATCCTTCAGAATGGTCAATCAAAAGAATTTTTGAAGGCTGAAGAACCTGCAGAGGTTGTTGGCACCGGAGAAGATGAAGATTGACAGTGCCAGTGAGTTGGGCAAGGAGACACTAAGAGGGGAGGATGCACAGTCTTGTAGTTCTCGAGTGCATGGGAATCACAAAGTGCATGTTTTTCCTCAGCTCTCTCATAGCCTCATTGTATGACTGTTGTGTAACCATCTCGTACATGAATGTATCCGTTTGCAAGGTAAGGATGATATACTAGAGAAATGCTCTGGAATAATAATTAACATTTGCTAAAGATTTTGAGAAAGTCAGATGAAAGAGGTTAAACTGTAACTAGAAAAAAAAAAGAAAGTATTTGGTGTGCCCTATAATATAAGTCTAATGGAAAAACCCTCAGCTTGATGTCAACGGAGTTATTTGGCAAGAGATGAAAGCATCAGGAAATAGAAGGCCTACTGAGTTGAAAACAAAGGGACAGGTCCATCATTTAGCTCCACTAGGCTGGGTCAGGATGCGATTACCTCCAACACGATGATTCCGGCATCACAGCAATATAATTAAGAACAGCATCTGGTTCACAGACTAGAAATATTTAATAGCAAAAAAACCATCCCATCTTACAATAAATAAATAAATAATCAAAAGTCGTAATAAAAAAGTTTGAGGGAAGTCATACCAGCATTTACAATTAAAAATCCTACCTCCATCCTTCTCATACTTTTCAACGAACAGAAAAAAAATAAACAAGGCAAGTCCCTTCCAGGCTCCGAAAGACTATAGAAAGAGATGTGGTGGGAGAATACTGTAACATCCATCACAAGACCTGAGGAGAAGTGAGAGTGCAAGGAATGGATACAGAGAATAGGTATAAAGCGAAGTGGTTTCTCAGTGATCATAGTTTCCCATTTTCCTCATCCTCTGTCAAATCTATTCTCTAGTTTTCTGACTTAGAATCATAGAATGGTTAGGGTTGGAAGGGACCTTAAAGATCATCTAGTTCCAACCCCCCTGCCATGGGAAGGGAAACCCTCCACTACACCAGGTTGACCAAAGCCTCATCCAACCGGGCTTTGAACACTGCCAGGGATGGGGCATCCACAACTTCTCTGGGCAACCTGTTCCAGTGCCTCACCACCCTCTGAGTGAAAAATTTCTTCCTTAGATCTAATCAAAATCTGCCTCTTTCAGTTTAAAGCCATTGCCCCTTGTCCTATCACTATATAACCTTGTAAAAAGTCCCTCTCCAGCTTTCTTGTAGGTCCCCTTTAAGTACTGGAAGGCTGCTGTAAGATCACTCCAGAGCCTCCTCTTCTCCAGGCTGAACAGCCCCAACTCTCTCAGTCTGTCTTCATAGCAGAGGTGCTCCAGCCCTCGGATCATCTTTGTGGCCCTCCTCTGGACTCGCTTCAACAGCTCCATGTCCTTCTTGTGTTGGGGACTCAGAGTTGAATGCAGTATTCCAGACTTCTCCACCTCCCAGTAACCCATCCAGCTGCAGCAGTCCCTCTGACTTCTTCATCCACCAACTAACATGTTCCTAGGCTCCTCATCCCCATCCTCACAAGGCAATCCTCAAAACTTTTTGTCACAGGCCTGGAACAGCCAGCTGCCGGGCAGGACCCTGCAGCATGCCTCTCTCCTCCCACCACTCCTTGGTCTCTTGCTCAGAGACACTGTGCCTGATCCTGGCACCATCACTCAACCCACTGCCAACAGTTTCCTGTGACAGATCAAACTATACTCATAAGCATTTAAAAAAATAGCTTTAAACCTTGCTCTGTGCACATGTGTAAATAGATTCCTACTACTATGGCCAAGGCAGAAGCTACAGGTAATAGGAAAAGGTTAAAAAGAAAAAGAAGAAACTAGCAGCCATGTTAAGACTTACAGAGTCACATGTAAAGTTATTTCCCAGTCTCTTTCAAAGGCATTAAAAAACCAAACCAAACTCAGTTTTCTTCAGTCTAGTTAAACTCCCCAGAAAGAAACAGCTGCAATAGCTTAAACTTGTTCTACTCAGGACAAAACCAAAACAAAACCAGAAGATGAGCTCACAGCTTACAAAGTGCTGATTTGGATGGGCTCGAGCCTTGCAGTTAATTGTTCACTCCCTCATTTCCAAAGGGTGAGCAGCAAAGGTGGAGGTGGGGAGGAGAGCAGATAATGTGTACTGGAGGGAAACACAGACAGTGAGAAGCTTTTACTCTCCTTAAGGTAAGAAACTTGCAAAACAAAGATCACGGTCCATGGATGAACACCCTGGCCGCTACCCCTACATCCCCCAGCCACAGGGTGCTGGAGCAGCCAGCAGCGCAGCTGTGAAGCGGCTCCTGGGTGTCTATCCCCAGCCAGCACACTACCAGGGGCTCTGAGGACTTTGCAGTGTCTCCAGACACTGAGCCCAGCCCTGCCTGTCCCATCCCCATTCTCCAAGCGCTCACAGCAGAGAAGGGGCTCCAGGCAAGACTTCCCTCTCACAGAAAGGGTACGAGGGCAGAAGGAGAGAGTACAGGACTCCAAGGCTCTTCCCGATGTGCAGCCAGAAAGATGCAGCAAGAGCAGGCACCCATGCCGGCAGCGCCTTCCTGCCTCCCACAGCACAGATGTAGCCAAAGATACTAGACCAGAGATGTGTCACAGATGCATCATTTTGATCACAAGACCTCTCTTCTCTCCTTAATAAATGGTACAGACTTCTTTTTCATCACAAAAACCTTTATTGTCAGTGGTTTTTTTAAGCTCAGTCACCTTCAAACTACCAAAGTGGTATATATCTAAGACAGAAAGGTAAGGAACACTGGCAAACTGTTTCATGACTTTTAAGCACCTGAAGGATCCCAAAACTTCATATCTTGTCAGGCTTACCCCCATTTGTTCTTCACATTATTTTCCATGCTCATTTACCACTTACACTAATCCAGCAGCTGCAAAAGAAGAAAAGGTGAGGAACCGCCAACAAGTAAAAATTATTTCATTTTTAATTTCAGTATTATCCAATTTGAGTTTTTTCTTTTTCTAAGAAACTTCTGTTTAATATTTTCATCTTTTCTTTTCCCAGTTACATTTTGTTATGGACTGCCACTTCACATTGATTCACGTCTCCTTTAAAAAGATGCTGTTGGCATTTGAAACTGGATTGAGGAGAAGGGAAATACGGGTGATAAAGGCAAGTGTTGGAAATCAGGGTAACCTCAACGACTGAGCAGCACTGTGGGGTACATACATGTCTCTTGTGGTTGCCTCGCAAAAAGGAGCTGGGAATTCCATTTTTACACTCAGAATCACTCTGCTCTTCATAGCTTTCAAACTCACTTGAACTCCACCCATATTCCAGTGAGCTGTTTCCACCATCATCACCATTTTCAACATCATCATAAATCATTTCCTCTGCAAGAATTAAACCAAAATATAAAAAAGGCACCATTGAAATTTGTTTGTTGAAACACCAAAAAAAGTTGTGCAGGATGTACTATAAAAAACTATACAGACTTTTGTATGCACATTTTTAAATGTGAATTAAATCCAATATTCAAACAGCCAAAAGAGGTTGTCTTTGTTGAAAGAGAGTACTAAAAGAGGACAGTGCTATGGGCACACACCACGATCCTTTTAAAAACATGCCCTACTCAAACTACACTGTTTTGTCCAAATCCCATAACACGTTTCAGAAGAAATTCAAAGTTCCAACTGTAGCTGTGAACATACGTCTACACTGAGAAGCATCCTTCCATTTGCAAGCTTGCCATTTGTCCCTAGGAACATCTTCATGATCAGCTCAAATGACAAACGCTAAAGAATCAAACGAAAATGTCACTAACTCCAAGCAGAACAGATCAGACCAAAGTAGCAAGGAACATGTTATACTATGATACTTTACAACTTGTCATTCTTGCAACTCCACCAGCCACTAGAAGCTTCCCATATCTGCAGGTTACCTTGCCCATAATCTAGTCTAAGATCTTGAAGTATTAACCTTTTCAAGAGACAGAAAGCTGTATTGCAAAGGCTGACCAAAGTATCACCTGTTAAAGACACGGGTCTTCTCAAGTATGACAAACTGACTCAAAACAAAATGGAAAATTTTTAGTGCCAATTACTTGCCAGGAAACAGGCATGCACTCTACATGTAGCGTCATTTCTCATTACAAGTAGAGAAGCGTGGAGACTTCTGCCAGGGATCCCTACTGTCAGAGGTTATAATGCTTCATTTAAAACTGTCTCATATTAAATTCAGTAAACAGAAGCTGTGTTTTCCTTTTAACACTGAAGTTTTATTTAAATTGAGAAAAAAATACGTACTTGAAAGAAAAGCTGACGTACCTCACATATCTATCGAAACCTTGGATTCTGTGATTTAAAAAACTACATTTTGATGAATAATAAAATTTTAATAATAACTAACTAAATTCTTTAGAATTAATACAGAGGAACCTCCTCTAATTTGGAAGAATCAAGTTTAACAATTTCTGTTTAAACCTCCATGTATATCAAGATTGTCCTTAAAATATACTTATTGAAGAAGCCATTTTAGTGGTAATCTAACACAATGAATAACTCGAGATTCACCATACTAAGTCAAAATGAATCAAGACTCATATAAGACAAACTTTTGCAGTGCCACTATTGGGGCAGGCTACCCAGTGATTTGGTGGGCATATTTTGTCCCTGTACTAATGTAGACTGAGCTCTGACTGTGACTTTTTTGGTACAGCCATGTCTCCTTGACAAAACATACAATTAATAACCATTAAGACCATGTACTAAAAAGATGAAATTTCCTTCACTACCTATTTTATCAGAAACGTCTGATGTCTTTGGGGACAAACAGAAAGCCAAAATTTAATTAGTATCTTCTGAGTTAAGCTGAAAGCTTTGACCAAGATGCTCAGCAGAGCTTTGCTCCATGTCCCATATCCCTCTCCAGCTCTGCCTCCTGGCCTCAGCATACATGTTTCCTGCCTGAGCAGTCACAGCGCAAAGATGTCCCTGTTCAGAGCAGCACAGTCCACTGAGGGACCTTCCAGTAATAAAAGCATTCAAGTCATGAATGTAAGATAATATTTCCAAATAATAAATGAAACAAATCTCAGTAACAATTTGTAAAGCACCTTGCCTGAACACCACTAAGGCCAACAAATGAAAATGTTATGGCTTTAAAGCTAAATGCGGTTTTCACACAAGAAAGCTTAAGTGTTTTCTTGAATCATTAACAACTTCAGTATCAAACACTGAGATGAGACACGTCTCTCAGAGCCGTGAAAAGTAGATGCTGAGTTCCTAACAAGCTGATCTACTCAAACAAAAATCAGTTAGTAGCAACCAAGGTTTAAGCACAGTCTTCACTATAACCAAAAATGGCAAAACAAATCTGAGAACTCAGTGAAATAAGTTTCTTGAGTCCTAGCTCCACCATTCCCAGTAACAGCAAAATCTTGGCTCCAGCAACACTACAAGAACTATCCTGCCCCTTCCAACCACGGTCATACCACCAGGAGCTGGACCACTCCAAAGCTGAAATAAAACATTCCTGTAGAGTCACCATCAGGACAGTAAATAGCCACTCTGAATCTCCTCTTCCATCTATCAGGTAGTTTTAGGTTGAAGGGAGACTTTCAAGAATAGAGCAGTTCTCTGTACAACCATGACAATGATGCATTATCATACATTATTTAACTTTTTAAAACACTCTTTTCCTAACTACCTTGTCCTGCTCAGGTCACTATATCTATAACATCCAACATGGTAATTCTCTAATATACAGAATACTCAAGCATTTGGGACAGCATCTATAGAACACAGAATTCAGCTTCTGAGAAGAGCCATGTAGGAGACCTGCTGAGATCAAGTCTTTCAAGAGTTAGTTTAATTCTGAACTTTGTAAGACCTACTGATTATTGACACTGTTAATTCTACTTACATGTATTTTTGGCAGTTAATGAACATATCTATTCAGTACACATGCATATAATTCCATATTACATTGCTTTCAATGTGGTCTGTATTACAAAGACCTCAAACCTGGTTCAGAGTCTGAATTTTCTCTTGGCACATCATCGTAAATTACTTCATCTGGGTCTAAAAGCAAAACAGAAAAAAAAAGAAAACAAGCAAATGAGAAACCCTGTAAAATTTGAATGGGACCAACAAGTAGTGTTTAAGAAGCATTTGGACAATACCCTTAATAACGTGCTTTAGTTTTTGGTCAGTCGTGAAGTGGTCAGACAGTTGGACTACATGATTGTTGTAGGTCCTTTCCAACTGAAATATTCTATTCTAAAGAATTTTGGTTATATTGGCACACATAAATACAATGGAGATATGGCTAATTCTCCACTAGCATTTTGCTAGTACATCTAATCATCATTCAAATAATTGAGTAACGTACAAACCCAGTATAAGGTACTCATGAAATTTCACATAGTTTTATTTGCATTGTTTATGATGACTTTTAGTAGCCTGAAAACAGAAATCCACTTCAACAGCCAACATTTCTCCCTCCTTTTTATAGCACTATGGTATATGTTTTGTGCTGGTCAAGGACTGCTTATTGCCTTCCTAAACGGCTGTAGAGAAGCTGTAATAAGACATTTTTTAAAAAGAACCAAAACTAAATAAAGCAATGATCATTGTAGTACAGTAACAGGCAGGATGAGGATGCAAATTCTTCAGTCACCGCAACTGACATGAAGAACCACCTTCACTCCAGTGGGAACAGCTGAGAACAAGCAGGATAACCTGTCCTCAAACCACATGGTGTCTGCTCTGGTTTAAAACGCAGCTGCCAGCCAAGGGTACACGCTAAGAAAAAGCGGTAATTCCTTCCCTTCCACTCTCTCCAAGAACTTATTTGCCAATTACCGCATGAGAAGAACAATTTCATATACAGCCACAGAGCAGACTCTGAACTTGAGCAAATTTCCATGGTACTTGTATTGATGGAGTCAAATCATTTCCTTAAGACAGTGACGAATGATTCCATTGACTCCAAAAAGCGCTCCACAGAAAAATGAATGTTAACTTTATTTTAACATACACTATTTCATTAGACTGCTGAATGTTTTAACTGCTATAATTTGGTTCTGGAACATATCTGAAAAAATACAAAAAAGTGAACATTGACGTTCCTGTAAAATATATATGTGCATATAGATACACACATGCTGCTGATGACAACTTATAACTTATCTTCTTCTACAGCTGTACTTCAGTGTTCACTGATACTTACTTTCCATCCATGCTGTATTTGCAGGATCTGCAACCCACTTGGCCAGAGCATCATCCTCTCTCTTGGCCTGGTTATCTTCACTTGAAAAAAA